AACTGGGTACGAAGTGGAGAATATTCTACGTAAGCTAGAAGATTCCATTAAATTTGACATTGCATGGGTGGACGGGTAAGAAGATTCATAGTTAATGGGTGGTTGTATTTAGACATGGCCACGGGCCGGGTCGGGTCCGGGTCCGGGTCGGACCCGCCGGGTCCGGGTCCTACTTTTTTGGGACCCGAAACCGACCCGCGTGGAGGCGGGTCCGGGTCCGGGTCGGGTCCACTCGGGTCCTCCGGGTCCGGGCCGGGTCCGGGTCCAAAATCGGTTCTAGATTTTTATTTTTTTTTTATTTAATTTTATTATTTTCGGGTCGGGTCCGGTTCGGGTCCGGGTGGACCCGAGTTTCTAGCCGTTGAAATTAAAAATAAAAAATAAAAAATTTGAATTTTCGGGTCGGGTCCGGGTCGGTTCCGGGTGGACCCGAGTTTCTAGCCATTATAATTTAAAAAAAAAAACATTTTTTGAATGCTCGGACCGGGTCCGGGCCGGGTCCGGGTCGGGTCCGGTTCGGGTCCGGTTTCTAGCCATTGCATTTTCGAATTTTGAAAAAAAAAATATTTTTTTATTCGGGTGGACCCGACGGGTCCTCGGGTCCGGGTCCTCGGGTCCACCCGCCGGGTGGACCCGTCGGGTCTCGGGTCCAAAATATTGGGACCCGAAACCGACCCATACATTTTCGGGTCCGGGTCCGGGTCCATGGTCAACGGGGCGGGGCCGGGGCGGGGCGGGGCGGTCGCCGGGTCGGGTCCGGGGCGGGTCCGGGTCAGACCCGACCCGTGGCCATGTCTAGTTGTATTTACCCAAACATGAGGGGGTTTTTCGTAATTTGATCTAGCATCAGGGGTCGCTGTAATTTACCCCAAAAAAATATGAATTTTGGCTTTTTAAATAGGAACTTTTATTATTTTGAGGTCAAATTCAAGTTTTTATTAGTTTTGTTTAATAGGAAACGTTTGGATTATTTTTGTCTTTTTCTATTTTCTGAAATGTCATTTGAAAACAAATCAGATGAGCAGTGTATCGACATCATTTTTTTTTTATTATTATTATAAATATACAACTTTAATAAACTATTAAAAAAAATACAATATACATAATGTGACACTAAAAATAACAGCAATTTATATGGTGAAGACACACGGACAATTTTGTCCACATTAGGCTCAATTCTTTGACATTATATATATATAATAGTCTATCGGTGTATTCAAATAGTTACGTGCATTGCTCGTAAATCTATTTTGGCTAGTTTCATATACTTTCGATACGGTAACACCGTGCATAAAATTTGCCTACATTTAGCTTCATACAGTTATGGAATATCAATTTATTTTTCTATTCGAAAAAAAAAAAGTTATGGAATATCAAATTCCAACAACGAAAGAACAAATTTTACTGTGATGTTACGGTTTAAATTTGCATACAGTTATTATGTATGCAATTTTTTTTAGAACAAGAAATCGAACCTTCAAAATATTTTACTCTTTCTTCTTCCTTGATCTTCTGGCCTTTTCTCATCGTCAATTTCTCTTGCGGGAATTCAGAGCGTTATGAATTACAGTGATTTTGAATATAAAGTTGCTCATGTCCGAAAGCGCTTGTAGGAAGACGTTTTTGGAAAACGTGATTTGTTGAAATATACATCATTGAAAAACATTATGAGGAAAATAAATAAATAAATATTATTGAAAAAATGTTCTCCAAAGAGGTTACTAAAATATAGTTGTATTTTAATTTACATCCAGTGAAATACACCGAACAATTTCCTATCTTAGATTAACACACAATCACAAACATAGATATATATACATGTAGATATGTGCAAAATGTATTGATCTATACACGTTAAAAGGAAAATATAACGAGGTGGACTTCACCGTAATTACCATTTGTATGCAAACATACATCCCGATAAAACGGTATCAAATATTATTTTTTTCTTAAATTAACAGTTGAAAGTAATAATAAATATTTTTGTATTTGTATTTAGTACTTGTGATTGGAGTACACATATTAATAGTAATATATTATGTAAAAAAAAAAAAGGAAAAAATATTCAAATGTTCGAGCGGGATGTCATACTACCTTCAAACACCCGTCAAATTGTATCCCATGTAAATTTATCGTACGTGTCTAATTATATACAATAAGACGATTCTTCGATGTATTTCACTGGATGCAGTATCAATGTGTAGTTTGGGTTAGGTGGTGATACAGAATCTAGAAAAGCACTTTTGCTCTTCTTAAAGGGAATATGCATTTCCATAAACCACCAAAACTCAAAAAGCAGAAATGATTGATCAATTATTCAAACAATAATATTCAGACAATCATTTCAATTTTATTACAATTTGGATTAAAACATCATACAGACAATCATTCAAAAAATAGCTCAAGAATAGAAATCCAGGCAACAAATTAATATATGACTTTTCAAACAATGATCAAAACTGATGAATAAAATAAAATAAAACAATGTAAACACAATTCTTTTTGCTATAACAATCTAAAAACTACAACAGGGTATATTGCCTCTCTGACAAATCCCGGATATCAAAATTGACCGATAAAATAGAATCTCACAAACCACAACACGGGAACCCGATCCCGCCAATCCCTCAAAGCGAATGCTTTTGTACACGTTATACAGAAAAATAGACTACATTTTACTCTCAAAATTCATTCACACCCAACCAAACGAATGCATGAACCGTATGCAGATGAATAATTGTTGCGACATCTCTCTCTCTCGTATCTGAAAGAATTGAGGAATAAATATATGTATGATTGGCACACAAGCAGACGTAATAACTCGACGAGCGAGCACTATGAGGATAGAAGTGACTGCAGTGCAAGCTGTTGTTGAGGTTGTAAGGATGCCCATGTGGAGGCGAGAGTTGACGGAGGCAACGTCTGCTGTAAATGTCTCAACAAATTTATCATTCGACTGGTAGTTTGCTCTGTCGCAAGATCATTGCCTGCAAGAAGAACCTGCAACACAAAAATTAAAAATTAAAAATTACCGGTGAGCACAACGTTCTCGACGAATTGGTGATTATTCGATTCGTTGACGGATATGTAAGCAAAATTTTCATTTACGATTTGTTATTTCAAATTTTGAATTCACATATCAAAAATGTTCAACCACGATTTTTAAAGTGAATTTTACAGTGGTGACGTTGACTAATGGTTTATTGATAACATATTTGGGTCCTCAAATGGCTTAGGGAACTAACCTCAGCAAACACGGAGACAATTTTGGGAAGATACTGATTGTTCGGACCAAGAAGTTCTGCATCGGATCTGACGAGAGAAAAACATGGTTAATGTTTAAATGGACATGAAGTTATGTAATAAGGTATGTAAGCTGAAAGTGTCAGGTAAGTACGAACCTCTCAACCATTGAACAAAGCTGCTCATGAACAACTTTTGCTTCGATGAGATCGCCTTTAATTGGCAAGCAACTCAACCAGGCAGGAATGACCTAGAAAGGAAAATCTTAGCGGTATGATTTTGATGAATGTTTACAAGAAGAAGATTTCCAATAGTTGAGGAAAATCATAGTGTTACTGTTAATGAATATCATTTCTAACGGAATCCTTCCTCCTTTAAGAATCTAGTTCAGTAGTAGTTTTTGAACATTCCTTCATAGAAAATTGTGTTTGGGTAGCAAACAACGGAATGATATCATACTTAACCTATTCAAAAAACTAATACAACAATTAAATTAAGCCACTAGGTTTGCAAGAAAAAAGATTTTCAAGAAATAACACTCAAAATTATCAAGATCTAATAAGTGGGAGATGTCTTGTGCACTGGAAAAGAAAAACTTTTTCAGTTCAATCCTAAATTAGTTATAACCAACATGCTACCTCCTATATAACCAAGGCTTATCGTGTCATATGAAAAACTAACAAGCAAAACAAATACCTGAGCTGCATCAATGCTATCACGATGAAATTGGCATATCTTTCCCAGTGCTGAAACAGCATTATCATATGCCATCACATTTTCTGGCTGCAAAGCGTTTGGATGCCTGATAACGACATTGAGCCTCGAAAGAGCCTCTGAAACAAAGTGAACAAAAAAAAGTCAAGTGTAAAAATATTAAGCTTCAAATGCATATTGTACGAGCTCGAGTGCAAGCAGAGCTTACCTCCAACAAGTGGTTTAATTACAGATGCACCAAATTCTGCACACACCCCAAGTCCATAAACAGCAGCCTAGGAATAGCAATGAGGCAATTTAGAATTCTAACTAATATTATCAACAGTCTTGAGATTATGTTAGTTCTGTAATAATGTATGCAAACCTGTCGGACATCTTGATTTTCGTCATTACAAGCTTCCAAGAGGAAAGGAAGATATGTATCATAATACCTGGTTACAATAAAAAGGAACTGCATCAGAAATTCCACAACTGCAATCAAACTCCAGTATTCGTTATTGTATGTGTACATACTTGAGAGCTGATTCACGGCACTGCTCAGCCACATCATCGAAGATGCAAATAGCGATTCTTCTCTCTTCTGCTGTCTTATCTTTTCCCTGACAAATAAATAATAAAATAATAAATCTCAGCAGTGATGATGAGGATAATAAATGCCGATCAACTTCCAATACCGATAAATTCTCGGCCTCAATTACTTCCTCGTGTTCCCCATTGACAAAATGAAGAAAAAACGAAGGGGAAAAAAAGAGGTCAAAATGACAAGGAATGCAAGTAAGACTTACCCACATAGGCATCAAGTATGATGACAGTTCATCAAAGAAGGGCAAGAAAGAAGCCTTGAATGTTTTGATCATGGTTCCCAAAATTTCACCAACCTGAACCAGCAGCAGATTATAAATTCTCAGTTATGAATTATGAGATGTTTCAATTAACTCTCAAGAATTCAAATATAGGTCACAATATTGGACTAGCCAGGAGTAATAGAAACTAACTTGGTCAAACACTTCTTCTTCTTGCTCGTTTTCCTCTTTAAGCAATTCTCCCTCTTCAGCATCAAAATCTTCAGCTTTGGACCTCTCAGCTCTCTCTCTCTTTCTACTTGAGCTAGCTGTAATCACCTGCTTTATCTCATCCACTATGCTTCTCACTTGACTTTCATCTAGAAGTTGGCCAGAAATCTGAGAAAAGAAATTACATGGTGAATGGAAAATTTATGCCAGCATCAGACAATATTAATGCCATTTAAAATTAAATTTCCACCATCTGAAATTAATAAGGATAACTCAGTTTAATTCAAACCTGAAAACATAATATGTATCCAACATTACAATCTTAGTATCATACTTCCATTTTCTAAACGGGAACTTCAGTTTCCACAGTTCATAATAATCAAATTGCTTGAGAGGCAATCAATCTACTGTTATAGCCCCAGAATGATAAACAGCTATGAAATGAACTAATGAACAAAAAACAAAAAGCTCCCTGCAAAAACTCCTCAAGATTTAAAACCAAAGGGGAATTTTAGAAAGAAAATCAAGATACAACCATTTGTGCTGCTTCCAATTTCAACATTATATTATTAGCCAGTTACAGTTAAATTTCATTTAATAATAAAGTTGACCTACCTGCAGACATTCATTTATTGCATCCAACATATTTGCACAAATCTCTGTATCAGGCTCCTGCAAGACAGAAGAATTCATATTTATAACTACCTTCATATAAAGCATCAAAAGCATAATTAGTTTATTTCCAAATAAAAGTATTTAATTAACTGTAACTATAACCTTATGTAGAGCTTCCACTAAAGCAGGAACTATGTAGTCAGACAACTGTTTAACATATGTCTCGTTACGGCCCTGAGCAATCCCTTTCTCCACAGCCAATTTTGCAGACCTCAATAGCTCCGGCATTGCTGAAAATAAACAATGACTTTCATGAACATGTATTATGTTGCATGCACATTACAACTTTATAAAGCAGAACCCTATATTACCTGAAACAGCAGCTTTCCTTACTTCTTCATGAAAATAAAATTTCAAAAGGGGAACCAAAGTTGGGGCAACCTACACCAATTACATAAACTTTTGTCACTTATAGTTGTTATCAACCCCCAGCGACATAAAGCAAGGAAAGGTAACTACACAAACCTGATCGATCCATGGATAGAAACCTTCCTTCAATTCATCAGCATAGCAACATAACATATTGCAAGCAGTGGCCTTCTCTTCGAGGACACTAGTCTTAATCCCAATTCTTTTGTCACCAAGGGTGATGGTCTCCATGCTGAAATATAATAGAAAAGTAGAGTTAAAATATTACAACTCAGTGATAAAAATTTGAAAATTAACAGGCAGTCTTCGGCTTTAAATATAGATCCAACTGAATGAGCAAAAATCCATCCCGGTGCATACATAAAAAAGGAAATCACTAGAAGTGATAATGGGAACCTTAAAAAGTTACATTGAAAAATGTAAGGCTTAACCCTCGCTGATATGTTCCAATCTATGTAGAGCTCCTATTACAAATATATCATACGAGGATAAACAAAATAAAAAATATATATACATTCTTCCTCGCAAGTATTTTAGACAATCAGATGAATTCTTCGTAAAAAGATTGACAAAACGATTAACTCAATAGTTTGCGCTAGAAACTTGTCTTCAATTTGTAACAGAACATAAGATCTGTCAATGTAATGCTGGTGAAAGGTGTACAGGAGAAACTATCGAGACATTACATTGCATTGCTAATGTGAGAGTACATAAAAAGCTTTAGATGAAAAAATATTGAAACCAGGAAAATTGACTTCTTACGGTATAATAACCAAAAATCATTTTTGAACATTGGAATCACTACTACCAAACTTATCATTGTTTCACACACAAAAACCAACCAGGTATCATGCATTTTAATAATTTACACTTTTGTGACAATATCGAGAAATTGCAAATGAATTGCTAAAAGCAAATTCATTTCAATAAGGTAATTCTATGTTTTTTTATGAAAAACATCTAGTGTTGCAATTGCATCATAAGACAAGATCAATAAGAAAATCAATATATTAATGTCCACGCAAGTAAGAAACAGAAAGAATGTTCACAACAAAAAACATGTAGATGAAAGAATGAAAGAGACCTTTCATCGTCTGATTCATCAATTTCATTGTCCGAATCAGCAGATGTGATGGTCACGTCAGGCTTCAGCTGAGCAGACTGAAGCAAAGGAGGCATGACCACGCTCATGTAAGGTAGGAAATCCTGTCCCAAGCACTTGCAAAGTCTGGCCCATGCCTACAACAGAAAAATAGGTATTGGTAAGAATTTAGATACAAAAACATGTAAAGAAATTTAAACTCTTCAACTTCCAAGGGACAGTGACATACTTGTAGCATGTAACTTGTAGTCGGATCATCTGTCTCCATTTGCGATCCTTGCAATGACATAAGCACTTCCATGACCTTGAATTAAAAAAAAACAAATAAATGAGTAAATAGCACACTGACAATTCAATAGATGCCGGTGCATTTTTTAATTAGGCCAATCACATTCATACAAATCATGTTTGAAGAGAGTATAAGAAGATAGCTCTATAAAACACACAATCACACATCAGGAGGAAATTAGTACATTCACAAAGACAAAAATAGCCATGAACTATAGATCTTTGGTTCTTTACCTGCTTGGCGTCTTCCTTGAATATATCTTTTCCAACAGCCATTCCTACCAAGCTGATGCACTCCATGGCCTTGGCACGAAGCATGCGGTTAGACTTGTCTGTTGCATTCACCAAGATGGTCTTCAAGTACGGCATGACTGCGCTATAGTATTTCTGGAAGTGTATCTGTCATAACAACATTTGCAGCTTCAGTACATATGCAAAGCAATGACAACATTAACTTAAAGAACCTTAAAAAACTTTGGTTACCTGAGATGAATCAGCAACAGAAGCTAAAGCTGTTAAGGCACCTTCCTGTACCATTTGTTTGGAGTTCTGCAATTTAAACGAAACAATCGGTTTATGAAATGTTACAAATGCTATTGCATTATTAAAATATCCATGTATTTCTCAAAGCATGTCGTTTGTTCACTACTATATGCACCTGTAGCAGGAGAAGTAGCTTGTGCACAATCCCATCTAAGTAAGGTGTCAAAATTTCTGGAGTGCAATTCTCACTGAAGTTGAGCACAGCTGAAGCAGCATGTGCCTGCGAAAAGCAAATAAAAAAGTAATGATTATAAGAAACTATAACTATGAAATCAGTGCATAATGTGGATCATTGTAATCTGAATTTTTATTAAGACAAGCACAGCCATATAGATAAAATCCTGAACAATATCAGTAACAAAGAAATAGAATCCACATAGCAATATGAAACTGCTGTTCTAGGCAGTGAAAAAGTTTGAAGTCATTATGAATACTCATACCCTTCAAAAGAAAACAATGTAACTTTTTGATTGTGCTAGTACAGATATATGTTTTATTTGATAATGTTCCTTTCTTTGAAATAAAAGTTAATACCACCAGAATAAATGGAACTTCACAGACAAGCACGAAATAAACATTTCCATTTCTCAGTATGCAACTAGTGTCGCTCAACAATGAGCCAAGAAAGCAAATCTTTCTTTTTCACAGATGCAACTAGTGTCGCTCAACAATGAGCCAAGAAAGCAAATCTTTCTTTTTCACAGCTAAATCATATCCTCAAAAGATAAGAAACAAAAACCTTAAGGCGGAATTGATTACACGTAACACATTTTTTAATTGACTCTGTATCTAAATTCATCTTTCTCACAATCAAAGACGGGCAAAATAGAATTAAAATAAAGGGTTGATAATAAAACTCTTACAAACCTGTACTCGAGGATTCTGGAAATCATCCATTGCTCCAGCTAGTGCTGGTAGCACATGTTGATGGTATTGAACTTGTAAATCTGGGCCCAGATCAGTTGAAAGTTGACCAATTGCATTAATAGCTGCCCATCTCACACGAGGATGCGGATGTTGAAAGGAATTCAAAACCATGGTCACGACTTGCTCCAAATTCTTAATCATCACCTAAAATAGTAGATGACAGAATGAAACAGTGGAATTATATAAGAAATAATGTCGCAATGCATCGTTAGATGTACTAAACATTTAACCAGAACATATCCCATAAAATTGGATTACAGCATTGACTTGCAGCAATAATCTATAATAGTTACAACATGAAAATTTAATTAACAAAAAGGATAGAAATAAACTGATATTCAAATTAATTATACATCATATTTCATTTTCGGACAAGTGAATATGGAGACGTAACTATCCAACAGCGACTAGAAAATCAACTAAGTCAAATGTCGAACGGCCATTACTATTCAAACTAAGCTCTTATTGAAAACAACAAAAGTCTGGTAAGAAATTTGATTCAAGGTATAATGTGATATTTGCACGAAACAAGAAAAAGTAAGTGAATAAATTTAAAAGTACTCGTCATCAAAATCATATCAACCGCAAAAGGCCACAAATTATTAAATTTAACAAATGTATACCTTCGAGCAACCCTCCGCAATTTGCGCAAGAGCAATTAGTGCTGCGTGATGCTTCTGCCACTCAGTAGCAGACAAATAAGCGGGCAGCTGCTCCGATGCCACGGGCACAATAGTGTTCCCACCAAGGGCGATAGCAAGCCTATCCAAACACTCTTGCCCAACGCTGTAATTACTCGTCTCCCCCGCATCCTCATCCTTAGTCTCCGCACTGTGCCACGCAGGATCGTCCTCCACATCCACAAGCATCTTCATCAAAATAGCAAAAACCCTACTGATGAACTGCGGCAGCTTTCGCATCATTCCAGGTGCTCTCTCTCTCGCTTCCGCCAAAGTAATCACAAATTCAATCGCCAAATGACGAGTCCCTTCCTCTAAACTCTCTGCTTCGGCTATCTGCAACATGGACCCCACAACATCCACAATCTGCCTGCGAAGGAATCTTGGCTCGGTCCCGGCCAACTCAATCAACAACTCCAGAGCCTCTTGAGCAGTGGCTTCTTGCCCAGAGTTCAGCGCCTCGGTCAACGTCTTCATCATTGAAGGCAACAAATCCTGGAACCTATCCCGATCGTTCGAACTCGACAGGCACTGGATAAAATTGATAACCGCGCTGAGGGCTGCAATTTTCACATCCGGATTGGTGGAATTGTTCAACACGTTCAGGAAAACGGTGTGCAAATCGGTGATGTACGGCGTGAGCGTTTCTCCGATGAATTGAGCCAACTGGGAGAACATCAGGAAAGCGGACTCCTGCAATTTGGGGGAATTGGAACTGACGCTCTGAAACATGAAGGGCAGAATCTCCGGCCACTGATTCTCCGGGACGAGGGAGGAGGCGAGCTCCGAAACGGTGTCGCACAGCTTTTTGATAATGGATTTGGATTCCTCGTTCTGGATGGCGGAGAGGAGGATGTTTTTGACCGCGGAGCGAGTCGGCTCGGTGAGCTGCGGCCAGATGAACGAGTCGTCCCGCGTCAGCTGCTTCCGGAGGAGGATGGTGGCCATGGCGCGCGCCTCGAGGTGCACGGACGACGAGAGCAGGTTCGCGAGTTTGAGGGCGAGCGAGTTGGGATCGTTCTGCTTGAGCAAATTGAAAATCGACTCGGCCTGAGACCGCTGCTCGTTGGCGGAGGACATCAAATGCGATATCAGCGTCTCGAACGGCGCCGGGTCCGGCCCCAGAATCGCCATCAGCTGCGCCTGCTGGAACTGAGTTGACTCGGCGTCCATCTGCACTGAGTCGCGGCGGTTCTGGACTAGGGTTTTTTTATTTTCTTTTTATTATTTTTTCAGCGCTCCGTGGTGGCGCTGTTGTTTCTATATTGTTTGGATAATTGACACACTTCTCTTTCTCACTCTATCTCTCTCCTCTCTCTCTCTCACACAGAAGCACACGCAGTGGAGGTGTGCTTATTTCTATCTGTGTGTATATATATATACACACACACACGGGGGTATATTTGTCTAATCTATTTATTTGGAATTGTTCGAGGGAATGTACAAGTATCTGAAGCGCATAGTACAATTTCCTGAAGAAGGAAAAGTGGAGGGAAAATAAAGCTGGCGTGATAATGTAACTGGTGGGGCTAATTAGGGCAAGGTGGGATTTATTCTTAATTAGCTGTTATTTGGGTGGCAATTATTTTATTATGCTTTTATATACCTGCTCACTAACAAATTATTATTATTATGATTATTATTATTATTAATTAATTAATTAGTAAAAAAATATTTATTGATTATATATATAATATATATATATATATATGAAAGGATGTGTGAGAAGAAAATATCAGTCAAAGTTGCCTAATATATTTTAATTCGAAAAATAAAATCCTTTTGACCAAAATAATTATACTTTTGGATGTAATATTTGGAATCATTTTTATTGATTTTCTATAATACTATTAATTATAATTCTTTTTCCCTGAATAGTGAATACTAATCAAGGTTTCCTTCCCAAAATTATGGCTTTGAATAAACAATATAGTTTCTTTTCAAGAAAATAAATAAATGAACAATAGCAAAATTACTATAGCTAATAGCTCTCAAAACTCTCTGGAGCTGCCTCCTCACACTGGAACACACAACTGACAAAGCTGATAAAAAACGGGAAGGAATTCTGCCCCTTCTGGTCCAAACCTCCTCTTAACTGGCTCAAAGTTAATTCGGACTGCAGCCTTGTTAATGGAGTTGCTTCATGTGTTTTTTTGATCAGGAACCACAATGGTTCCATCCTCTTTGCTCGTTCAAGCACTCACTTCTGCCATGATGCCCTCGTAGCTGAAGCTATAGCGGTGAAAGAAGCCTGCCTTTTTATCTCGAATGCAAAGCTGAGCAACGTCATCTTTGAATTGGACTCCCTCAATGCTGTCAAATTTATCTCCGATAATTCATTGGACATTGACTGGACTGCTGTTACTCCTATTCTTGAAGTCAGAATGTTTTGGAAACTCTGGCCCAAATGGAAGTTTCGTTTTTGCTCCCGCAACACAAATTTCGCAGCACATCACCTTGCTTCTTGGACATTTGCATGCAAAATGGAGGGTCCTATTTCCATTAATTGTATTCCTATTTCTTGCTTTTGTGACGGGGGATTTCCCCTCGTAGACTCTTTCGATTTTGGTGCTTAATATATTTTCTTTACTTATCAAAAAAAATAATAGTCATATATATGGGCCTAAAAAAATTAAAACAAGACCATAAAGTAATAGAACTTTTAAAGAGTTATAAATCCATAAAGGAATCAACAAGGCCCAACTCTACAAAGTTTAGGCCTAGACTAGTGAAATTGACCACGTCAAACAGTAATAATTACGGCATAAACTCGATAAATAATAGTTTATTCTGGTCCCGACATTGTAAAAATTTATTAAATTATTAGTTCGATAATTTAATATTTCGCTAAATTAATATAATTTTATTAATCCCAACTGTATTGATTTATAGAGATCTAACGGTTCTTAATATCAAATTAAACAAATAAGAGAAGGATGTAAATTATAAGAGGTTATGCATAATTTATTCTCTCCTTTTTTTTCCGAACAAATCGTTAGTTTGACAGGAGTAATTGTAATATGTTAAACAATAAGGGCATTTTTGCAATTACATGGATGGAGACCTCTTCTTTCTTTTTTTATTTTGTATTTTTTATATTATTATTATTATCATTATTATTATTATTATTATTATTATTATTATTATTATTATTATTATTATTATTATTATTATTATTTTATTTCTTTTACGAGTATAAGTAGGAATAACAGTATTTAATTAGGATTATGCATAATAATATTTTCTCTTTCAAGCTATCGAGCTATACCTTGAGATAGTATCACCATGGCTCTTCCACTCGAGATCATAGAAATTGTCCTGTTAAAATTATCGGTTAAAACTCTTCTTTTGAGCTTTGTCGTGATCCAATCACTGACGATTTTAAGGTTGTTTTAGTTGGTTGTGAGAGTTACTCGGTTTATTCTTGTAAGAACAAGTCGTGGATAATATCGAACAAGCAATTCGAAACCGAGTGCATTGGTTATGGTGTGGCAAGCAGGGGCGGACCCAAGGTATGCCTTGGGGGGGCCTCCGCCCCTGCAGAAAAAAAAATTACCTTTTTTTTATTAAATTTTTAATATCTTATGTTATTTATCTATTAATTTATACCATTTAGTCCCCTCAAAGTTCAAATTTAATATCATTTTAGTAAAAAAAAAATTCTAGCCCCCCACCCAATACTCCCTGGGTCCGCCCCTGGTGGCGAACAATAATTTGGCTGGAGTGTGCCTTGATGGGACTAGCTATTGGGTTTCGAGTAGTAGCCCCAGTTTCATGGAGATAGCAGCGTATTACGATCGGAGAGATGTCGAGTTCAAGATTTTGCGGATACCGGAAAATTTGGTTATCGACGAATCGGTCTCCTTGGTTGATTTGAGGGGCTCTTTGTGCATGTATCGCAACGTCGGAAAAATGTCCGAAACGAATACAATTCGAATTTTGTTTGGTCGGGAATAAGATTGTGATTCGAATAGATGGAGAAAATCATAACGATCGATTAGTAGTCTACAACCCTTCTAAGAAGAGGTTTAAAGAATTTAAAGACACAAAGATGGTTTTCGGGTGGCTTGGGTTTGTTCCGTATATGGATACTCTGTTCTTCCCCGTTGAGGAATCGAGTCGAATCATAACAGGTAAATTTGGTTTTCCTATTGAGAGATAGAGACAATTAGTCTTAACAAGTCGATTTGGTTGTTTGAGACGTGGAATTATTTTTTTTTTTTTTTTAAATAGGTTTAGCATTTTGATCATCAGTTCTTGTGAGATTTATGTTTGTATACCACTTGTTGTTTGTTATCAAGAAAGTTAGTGTACTTATCAGTCAAATCTTTGCAAGTTTTAAGAGGTATTTATAATTTATTATACTTTTTTTTCCGGGTAATTTAGACAGACCGCGATTTTCGTTAGGATAGGGAATGTGTATTGGGCCAAAGGCCCAACATTATACTGAGGAAGATTAAGTGTTTCCGGTTACCAACCTCGTGTTGAGTCGAGAGCCGGCAAAGATTGCCGAATCGATCGTGAACTCCAAACTCGGCATGTGTGACTAAATGGACCCGCTTGGAAAGAGAATTTTGTACGCGAATCCCCTGAGGTAATGTCAAATTACGAAAACTACATTCTTGTTTGTATAATTACAGCCACCCCTCAACTATGTATTGTCTTATTTGTCCATCCTTACGGTGTTAAATTTACCTAGGGGAGTTCGTCCGATTTATAAACCTACCGAATTGAACTGAACAAAAATTTACTACATGTCGACGACCGAAAATTCGGTGAGATATTACGTTTTTTATTTATTATTTTATATATATAACTATTTATGTAATATTTGTATTTAAACTAAAAAAATAAAAATCAAATGCGTAAATATTTTTAATAAAATTTAGGTAATGCGGTTATTTACTGAACTGAACCGAACGCTAAACGGTATGAAATTGTGGCATATCAAAATTTCGGTACACTTTTTATCGAATAAATACCCCTAGTTTTACCAACTAGTACTTCACCCGTGCGTTGCACGGAGGTCAGTTTCAAAATAAGAAAAATAATAATATTTAAGCGATTATCTCTTTATAAGAACACCATTCAAGTAAAACAAATGAAAGGAAATAAATATATTATCTCTTAATTCAGAATTGTAACATATGAAATTTAATTATACATTAAAACACGTTAAGAAGAATACGTGAAGCGCGCAAAACACGATATGAAGATTATGTGAAATTATTTAAAACATATTGTATAACTCTATTTCATGGAATGTAATCTACTACACCATGTTAATCATCTACAAAATAACTAACTTAACAACAAACACAATAGTACAGATGGAACACAATATATATTAAAAAAACCTGCAAATTTATCACTAACAATATTCAATTGGTGATGCACATTACTCAAACAACAACACAACTTTTAAATATTGCAAAAGAGATAAGATGTATACGTCACTACCAATAATGATACCAATACTGATATCAATACTGGTACTCTGATACTAATACCGATACTAATATTCATACTAATACTTATAATAATACTAATACTAATATTAATACTAATACTAATACTAATACTAACACTAATTCCAATTCCAATACTAATACTAATACTAATACTAATACTAATACTAATACTAATACTAGTACTAATATTAATACTACTACTACTACCAATACTAATACCAATACTAATACTAATACTAATACTAATACTAATACTAATACTAATACTAATACTAATACTAATATTAATATTAATGCAATA